AGCTCGATTAAGGAGCTGAACAGACGAGCTAGGCTTTCCCTGTGGCCAGGAGACCCCAACAAAGACAAGGGCATATCCAAGATAGCCTCGCACTATGTTACAAGGAGGCCACGAGACGGGGGCCTAGGAATCATTGACCCCGGAGCAGAAACGAAAGCTCAAATGGATCATCAAACCGCTGATGAATCCGGACAGCGCCTGGAACAAGTTGGCACTGGATAGTATCAGATCTGTAGCACCAATACCCTCCCCAAACGATATGTCAGGCCTGTTTTGGGTAATGAACAAAGAATGGGTGATATCTACAGGACGGAGGAATCGGACGAGGAATAACAGACTTGAGGACCATCGACCGCCCACCCCTTACTGGTCGGCGCTGCTTTGATCGTGGAGGAAAATAATCCCTAGCAAGACAAACAAACCTAAATCCAAGGATGAAGTACTAAGACAACCGCTTTTCGGGAACGAATGGTTAACAAATAAGGCTAACAATCCACTTTTCCTAGAACAGAGATGGTTGTCTTGGATCAAGAACGGTATCTAGAAAGTAGATCACTTGTGGAAGGAGGACAAAAAAAACTGGATAACGGAACAAAAGCTTAGTGCCCGACTGAAAGGATGCCACAGACGAGGGACCAATCTTCGATATATACTTAGTCGTATTCCACAGGAGTGGAGAGATATCCTGGTAAAAGATAAGAGTCGTGGAGACCGGGCGAGTGGGGTCTTATGATTCAAGACACAACCCCTTCTAGAGCCTATCAATTCTCCCACATGCAGCAAGGCTCACACACCAGGGCCACTTTCCTCTCCTTCCCGATCTCCCTCACCAATACGGATATGCCAGCTATTTTGAACTGCAATGTAGAATCATCTATACTAGATTCCTTCCTCCTCGGGAAAGTAAGGGTCCTAGGTACATGGCCAACGGCAATCTTCAGACCGGACACTGCAATCCGGTCCTTGGAGTTCGACCCCGCGGAATGGGCCTGGACGCCAAATACTACCAGCAACTTCAAGTCAAAAATCCCAATCCAGGACTACTCTGTCAAACTGGGGTACGGACTGTCTCTAAAGACCAAAGACCCTATTATCAAAAACAGATGGCGGAACCTCGTGGGTCAAGAAGCAGACAAAATTACACGAATCCATTGGGAAAAATTCAAACGTATCAGACCAATCAAGATTAGAAGTTTGCAGTGGCTGATTGTATACACAGCCCTACCGGTGAACCAATGGCTGCACATTAGACGGAAAGCCACAGATCCAGACAGCTCGGAGTTATGTACAGTCTGCACCGAAGGTGCGGTAGAAGATGTAGTTCACTGCCTAGTGCTTCGTAAAGAGGCGACTGAATACTGGGCGAGAGCGGCTTCACTCTGGGATTCCCTCTTCACATCTCCCTTCCCCGAACAACCCATTCAACTGCTCCTCTTGACTAACATCCCTGATCAGGCACGAAAGGCAGAGAGGATCTGGTTTGAACTCATCAGGAAAGTGACCCTATGGGTCATATGGAAGGAGAGATGCAGCAGAACAATTGAAGGACGGTCCAACCCACGGGAGAAGGTGTGGATAGAAACTAGAACAATGATGCAAGCGGAGATCCTTTGCAGATGGCGGAAGATCAAACAAGCCTGGACAGAAGATGAAGAACAGCGGAAGAAGGAGAGGCTGAGTTTCTATAGGAATTGGCTGGTAAATGGCAAGGTCGCAGACTTGCGACAGGACCGGGTATGCTGGAAAGAATGGCACAATTCAATTCCAGAAAGGGGCCTTCAACAACAGGCAACGTCGGAGGGCATAATCACATCTTAGGTCGCAAGGGAATGCATACAACCCGCAAGAAACCCAGGGGGTACAGATAAAGAGGGAACATGGGAGGAAGGAGGACAAGTTGGAGAAGAGGATAATACTGGACCATGAACAGGGGTTGCAAAGGAAGACGTTATCACAGAGGTCCGGAAGCAAACGATGTCCTGCCAGGTTCCAAGTTCGACGATCGGAGGACAGGAGCACATGCTGAGGGTTTAGGGTTTAAGTTTGACGGTTGATTATCCAAGAGGGGCAGAGAGGTGTGTGGGGAGGGAACAGGTCGGCAAAGACAACGGATGAACTCTTTCCAGGGTCAAGGGCGCTATCTGGCAGATCTGGAATCCAGGTCTGGGAGGAAAGAGAGGGACAGGGCAAGCTGACAATCAATCCTCCACCGTGGTGGAGCAATCAATGCTGTTCAGGGGTCCTTCGGCCTGACGGAAGGAAGCGTGTGTGAGTGTTTATTGATGTAATGTACACTTTGACTTGCCGGTGGAATAGGAACCGGACTGACGCTCCCCAGAATAGACGGAGCCAGGTCCATAAGGCCGTGTTTTATGGGGGAAAAAAAAAAAAAAAAAAAGGGTTGATATTTCCCGCTGCGTGCACCCTACCGTCACTGTCCCATAGGGTCCATGAGATATCGCCAAAGGTAAGGCACTGAAATGACCTGGTCGATGTAACATGTATGCCCAAATATCTGGATCCATGGCTAGCACGTGATTTTGCGGAGCAGGCTGGAATTGTAGTCACCTACTCATAAATGCCATAGACAGGACTTCTGCGTTCACAACATATTCCCCAGGCCGAGTGCTGGTGCAGTACTGTTGTCCTCCGGGCAGACGACATGGTGGTCTTCTTCCATCCAGCGGACAAAGTCTGCAAAATCCGAAACAGTATACGGCTTGCGATTGTAGGCAAGGAGACACCACATTAATGGCATAGTACGCACAACGACCGTGCTGTAGAACTATTATATCATTCGCTTATGCAGGTTGTGCGGCAGGGGGGAGGTTCAGTGCGGCAGGGAGGAGGTTCATCCATTTCTGCAGATTGCACGGCAGGTGGAGATTCATTGCAGTCTGGACGATTTCTGTCAGGTTCCTCCGTCTGTAATACCTCCATTAGATCCAGTATGCGCTCTGAAGAAAGATCATCTTGAGCCAGAGGCTCCATCAGGTGATCAGAAGGTGGATCATTACCATTTGAGGCAGGGCAGCATGCAAGGTCAAGTGGATGAAGGACAGTCGACCAGTCGCACTTGGTGGTGGCGGAGAAGTGGCATCTGTAACGATCAATCCGACACTGGATGTCTCTGCCAATGAGGCCTTTGTGACGACTGATCCGACCATGAATGTGTTGATGATGAGGTCGATGAAGAAGGGGAGGCATCCGAGGTGGAGGATGATGATGAGAAGGAGGTGGAGAAGAAGAGGAGGCAGATGACTGAGAGGATGTAGTAGTAGGTGTCGACGGGGGAGGTGGTTTGATGGTGGTGGTGGTGATGGTGGGGGGGTGGTGGTGGAGGTGGAGGCGGTGATGGTGGCGGCACACTTTCAGCAGCTGACGAGTGTGGGTGTGCACGTGGTGTGTGTGTGGGTGTGCACGTACGTGTTTGCGTGTGTGTGTGCATGTGTGTTTGTCGGACCCTGGCGGTGCACTTTCAACAGAGGTCGTGTGTGTGTGGGTGCGTGTGCGTGTGTGTGTGTTCGTGTGTGTGTGTGTCTGTGTGTGTGTGCGTGCGTGTGTGCGTGCGTGTTCTCGTGTTCGCAATACACTGCTCCGGAAAAAAAACATGACTGTGTCACTGACTCTTCAGGAAGCTCAGCCCCCATTTCACCCAGATGAATACATCCAAAATTGAAGCGGCTTGGTCCTATTGCAGACAACGAAAACACTTGAGACAGTCCACAAATAAAATTTTTACCTCTATAGCAAGCAACATGGAGCATAATAGAAAGCGTTTAAATCCCTTTCTTAACTGTCGTCACTTTGGCTTTCTCTAGGACTCGTTTGTTCTTGCAGCTCCCCTTTTACTGTGCCTCTCATGTACAATTCTCGCCATGTTGATCGTGGTTGAGCGCAACCTGCCCAAACCTCCCGTGTGCCATAATGGCCCACTTGCACACTGTGTAAGGAGGCAGAGTAAAGGTGGAGGTATATTCCTGTCCCTTTTCCTCAGGTCTTCAGCTTATATTTTGTGTTCTCTTGATGATGCTCATTCACACACATGTACTCGATAGTACACAAGAGGACGGAGGAAGGAAATAGGAGGGACAGTTCTTACAGGGTTCTAAATACGCACCGCTGGGGCAGTCTACTTTAGAATGGCACATGAGGCCAGTCCGTGTTTGGGTTGCATAAGATTTCAAACCGAGGTTCAGTCGTTGCGTATGGTAAGTTGCCAGCCCTACAGGCCGGACAGGACCGGTTCAGGTGTGGCACAGATGTCCCAGGCTACGTGGCTCCTACATGCTCAGAACACACAGGCGCGGCGACCACAATTGTAGAGGCATTGCTGTTCCAGCCTGTCTACAAATTGGACATGACATGTCAGGGTGCAGTGCGTGAGTGCAGTATCAACTGTCATCATGTGTACGAAAACAAAAACTCACATGGGCTATGCCATAATAGTCCTCATGACACAAGGCATGTAAACCACATGCTAGCCGGATCTCAGGTGGGTCATCACAAAGCGGCATTGAG